ATGGCGCCGGTGCACCTCGGCGGTGGACAGGGGCAGCCGCTGCTACCGTTGCGGCTTCCCTGGCCACAAGGCGGTGGGGTGCCTGTCCGGCCTGAGGTGTTCACTTTGTGTGGACCTCCGACGGCCGGCCAGGCACACCCTCGGGGGGCCGGGGTGCCTGTTGGCACCGCCGGTTGGGGATGGGGACATGCCTCCCCTTTCCCCGTCGTCGGCAGTCGTGCCCATGGGCGCGGCTGTTCGCGGCGGCGGGGATCGGGGGAGGGGGGCCCACCACATACCGGCGTCGACGATTGACGCCGGATGAGGGTGTCGGGCTGGGTGTGGGGGCGTAAGCCCGCACTCTTCTCCCCGACAGCCTCTCAAGAGAAGGAGGCGATCGTACTCTCCGCGCTTAGGCGCGGGGTAGGCGCTCGTCCTCCCAAAGGAAAGCCCCCCGGGTTGCGGCCGAGTCTTAACTCCCACGGAAGCGGAGGGGGCCGCAACTGGGGGGGCCAAAGGGGGGCCACGTGTCCCTGGCGGGTGTGCATTGCCCTCCCGCCTGGAGCGCCTGGGCCCCCCTCAAGGACGGAGACGTGACGTGTGGGGCCCTCTCACCGGGAACCATAAGGCACCGGTGGAAGGGCAACACTGTCCACGGAGGGGGCCTCTCTCCTTCAGAGAGGGACTCCCTGGTGAGAGCTCCCCTTGTGGAACGCCGAACTGGATCACCCTCTAGGGGATCCGGGGCTGCACTCATTAGAGGGGCGAGGGGCGATGGCTCGAGCGGGATTTCTCGAGCCATGGCTCCGCCCCTTAAACTTTTTGAGAGGGCGTGGCATGGGGGCGATGTCACCCCGTGCCGCAATCGCGATGAAACCGCACAGTCATTGACTCGGGAAGGTGTCTCGGCCGCAAGATCGAAGCGGCTCCCCAGAGACAAACTGGCGGGGGGGTGGTTTCCGAGACGGCATGGGAAACCAGCATCCTCGGCACCCCCCATTCAACGCCACGAGAAGGACATCCGCTGGGGTTTTAGTGCGGTAGGTCTTGGGCCCCCTGGTCGAATCACTCGTGGCTCGATCAAGGGGAACAAAGAGTCCCACATAACCCGCACCCCTACCCGGGGGTGCGCGGTACCATAACGGTTTCCCCAGCGTCACAAAAAAAGGGGGCTCTTTTGCCAGGGGTAGCTTCAATTACTGCTTTTTCGATCGCTGCAACAAAAGTTGAATAGATTACTTGAGTGTCTAACGGGAAACGAAATAAATCCTTGATGTCACGATCCATGATATCGCAGAAATTATTCCAATCTGTGTGATTAGTGTAGGCGAGGACGACTAGGTTTATCCGTGGACAGTTCCGGGGTGCACAAAGAGCTAATAAAAATTGGGTAATGATCACTACCCCAGCTATCCGAAGCCACCTGTCCGGTATATCTAGAGATCATCGAATTGTGAACAAACGTCAAATCCACTACCAAAGCACGTCTATTGATATCCCCCCAAAAAGTGAGAGAACTATCCCCCAAAGGGCAAAGATCTGATTCGAGCATGGTCTTCCAAATCCTTTTATCATTTAGACAAGTATAAGGAGCCCCACCCGGTGTGGTGGGCATTGAAATCTCCACAGAAGAGTACTCTAGAGTGCCCATATTGAGAGAAAAAGATCCTGCCATTCGTCTTCCGTAATACGTGGGGCATTCGGAGGGCGGTAGCAAGCTATTAAAGTAAATCGGTCTCCTGAAACACACAACTCAATCGCGCAAGCCTCTATTTTACCCGCACAGTCATGAGTAACCTGACAAACCTTATACTTAAGAGATTAGTTAATCAAAATTGCCACTCCTCCTCTCTTATTCTGTCTATCCCTGCGCACCGTATCGAATCTTCTCAAAAGAAAAGAGTTTTGCGGAATTAACCATGTTTCTAAAATTATAAATACGTTATGACTCATGCTTTGTCCTTCCAGTTCATTGTATCTTATTAAAATCGACTTAGCATTCCATTGCACAAGATTTAACGAATTAGTTATGGTCATTAAAGCTAACTTAAAATATAATAGATAGATATATCTACAACAAATCAATTTAAGTTTAATTCTTTTTTTTACTCAAAAATAAATATTTTTTTTTTTTTATCGGCTCTCAATATAAACAATATAAATATGATCTTTTTTTTTTAGTTTAGCAAATACTTCCCCATGAACTGTGATTGTTCTGTTTACTCTGTCAAGGAGTTCGTCGATGTGATCTGCTACTAGAATGCGATCAATCACTTTGAAGGATTTAGCTTTTACTTCTTCACCACAATCCTTAAAGAAGTGGATCCATGACCGGTCATCCTTGAAAGACTTCCGTTAAAATGTCGAAGAATCCTTTGTCGCACTCCCCTTTTGTTGTTCCAGAAGAGGAAAGCATTATTGGTGAAGGAGATGAATTGTTTCTTTTTTTCTTTGCAACTGCGAGTGCCTTAGCTTCAAAATATGGAAGATTATCGTACGCCATAATTCTTGCTATTTCCGCATGCCTGTTGTAGATTGGACATGAGCGATCTGTAGTTGGATGATCCTTGCTGCAGTTACCGCATTTCGCGGTGGCCTAGCAAGGAGATTCCTTTGTACAATGATGATCCCCGGCATATTAAAGGCACCTTGTATTCTTCTTGCAGAATTTTCTTAAGCTCTAGACCAAAAAAGCCGTAATTGAAACATAAACGAACTGACGGAATATATGGCGTTACTGGATTAATTGACTTGAGAATAACTAGATTTTTTGGCAAAGTTTCTCCAAAGATCTGTATACAAACTGTTTCTGAGTTCACTCATTGACCCGTGATTCTATTTTTGCGTTTAAGCCGAAACATTTTGAACACTACAATGTTGCTATGTTCATCTTTTATCGCTGTTTTCAGTTCTTCAAGTGAAAAGTGCAGAGGGATATCCCTGATTATAACTTTACGGCTTAGTTTGAATCCAGGAATAAAGACTGTGAAGCCAGCTTTTTTTACAAACTTATTACTTAGCACTGCATTATATAGCCGCTGCTTTAGAGGGAAAAATGGCCCTCCATGTTTCCTTCGAGTACCTTTGAATAGATAGGAATTTTACATTAGCTGACGTAAGCTTTTCGATACGTGAAGAAGTGAGGATGCTTTCTTAGTTTTATCCGTTGTCGGTAGACGGAGAAAAAGGATATATGGGGCTTGCGTAAAAGCTCCATATTTCGATGGAATATCCTTAAATGTATCTGATGGTTTAGTAAGTTGAGTCTTGTTAGTCTCGTTGGGCACTAAGAGTACTATTTGTTGTCTACTCAACGTGTTGGGAGATAGGTTAGGTTGATCACCTAAAGGAGTCTCTTCTTGTTAGATATATTATTAAAAGATTTAGAACAATATTTTCCTACCGCTTCGTCTAAATCTTCTTCCGTTGTAGGATGTTGTCTTTTTCTACCCTCTACTAAATCGACCTCCATTGTATTGTCAAGACGTAATTCTCGCAGATAGCAAGCGTATTTTTTTAAGTTGTTTCCAATTTCTTCGTATGCCGGTGACGGCACATGGCCGCACACCAGCTCACGATCGTTTTGCTGATTCTGTTGATCCAATGCAATACCGTGTCTTACACTCGTTTCAGTAACTCAAACTGCAGTTGTAACAGACTCCCGTCGACAAACACTCGTTTAAACACTCTTTCAAGAGAATTACAAGCGTAAAAAGACAGAAAAAACCGGGCGCTACAGCGTGATGTTGTCCCTCGCACTGCACAGACAAGAGTCCTAATTTGATTTATATTATTTTTTGCAACGCCTGTTGCAAAAGTTCGATTTTCGATTGCTGTTTAGCGTGCGGAAAATGACTTATTTCTCAACAATTCAATGTATGCCTTACTTTACCACACTAGTGTGAGAATAGTATATTAGCTAACAAGTGCGGGGGATCGTAAATCGGCCGAGAGTGCGAAAGTTTGGCGCACGAGGCGAAGCCGAGTGTAACAATCCGCACGATCGGCCAATTTATGACCCGCACATGTTGGCTACGATATTTTGTGTAACCGGTGCGTGGAAAGAAAGCCCTTTCTAAAATTCCATCATGTGCGACTTTTTGTGCACCGGTTGCACAAAAAATCTTTCTTCTCGATTGACAACAAACTTGAACGTAGAGAAATTCACGCGAGACAAAACGTCAATTTGTTACCCTTCTATTCAAAAAGGATCAAATGGATAAAAGAAACGAGTGTTCAAGACCGTCCACGCCGTTAGAACTTATAGAAGCAGCTGAATCTGCCACGAAGACTATATTACCGAAAAAATCAAGAGATAAGTACATGAGTAAAAACATTTTAAATCGAACTTTCGCGATAGGCATTACAAAAAATATTGTATGTAACATGTGCGGAGGACAACGAATACATCGCGCGTAAAGTTGCCGCATTCGCCTTAGCTTATGATGCATTCACACTCGTATTCGTATGAATGCATCATAAGCCTTCGGCTCATGCGGCAACTTTGACATAAATATAACACACAATGCGAATCGAGACAACCAATCAGCAACGTGGAAAAGCGGTAATACATGCGAAAATCGACTTTACATGCCTTTTTTACAAAAGGACTAGATTAACGTGCACGCTATTTATGTTATTTTTTATTTGTTATTATATCTTTCTGCATATAATTTTTATATAAATTATATTAAGAATATTAACTTGGCTCTTTGATATAAACACATAATATACACCTCCATCTCGGCCAATAGAGCCAAATGCGATGTTATTGCGAAAATTAAGAACGAAAATTAAGGAACTTAGGAATTCGTATCTTATGGTTGAGATCTCAAAATTCCTCTTGTTCCTCTTTTAACTTCTCCTGTAAAAGGATATCAGATGATACTGCGGCAAACGTTTGAAATAATTTTCTTTAAATTATCATCGATTCTCTTTTCCTCGTAATTTGTTGCTCCACAGTAGCTGCCCAACTTTCGAGTTGTACGTCTCGTAAGGTGCGTGTAAAAAGTTATTAAATAATGGCAGATTATACTTCAGCAGAGTATACGGACATGATTATCGTATACGGAGCAGCCGGAGAAAATGCTCGTGCTGCGGCTCGTCTTTACGCGGAGCGATTTCCCGAACGTGAGCGTCATCCATATTATAAAACAATTTTGAATTGTGTTCAACGCGCCAGAGAAACACTAGGAGTTGTGATGCCAAATCGACGAAACGTGGGGGCACCAGTACGTTATCACGTACGAGAAGAAGAGAGAATCCTGCGAGCGTTCGAAGAAAACCCCAGGACCAGTGTGCGCCGTGTATCTCGGATGCTCGGTCTCTCGCGATACGTGGTGCATCATCTTCAAAATGGATTGCATCCGTATCATCATCAGCGAGTACAGCAACTTTTACCGAGAGATGACGAATAGCGCGTCTATTTTTGTGAAGGTATTTTTATTATCTTTATTTCATATTTTTTCGCGTTATTTTTAATAAATATTAATAGTCGGTGAAACACACAGAATTTCTTGCGCAGTATCGACGAAATAATTTTTTCCCCGATTGAATTTTATGGACTGACGAAGCCACGTTCACACCGAACGGTGTGTTTAATTCACACAATTTTCTGCAATGGGCAGAAGAAAACCCGCATGTCGTTCGAGAACGCGCTTATCAATATCGCTGGGCGATAAATGTATGGGCAGGAATAAAAGCGAACCAAATAGTAAGTAGTAAATTTACTTGTTAGTAAGCAAAAAAATTTTCTTTCGCGAGTTTAACAAATCATTTTTTTTTTAATATTTTATTTTTTTAGATCGGGCCATATTTTCTTCCACCCCGTTTAAATGGAGCGATCTATCTTAATTTCCTCCAAAATGAGTTACCTGCTCTTCTCGAAGATGTTCCTCTTCGCGATAGAGCGGAACTCATTTTTCAACAAGACGGGGCTCCTGCGCACTTTTCTCGACAAGTGCGCGATTTTTTAAACGCGCATTATCCAGAGAGATGGATAGGTCGAGGCGGCCCGATCATCTGGCCGGCGCGATCGCCAGATCTTAATGTGCTCGATTATTTCGTGTGGGGTCACATTAAAGATTTAGTCGAGCATAGGCGTGATGGTACAGAAGCTGAAGTACGGGAAGCAATTCTCGCAACTTTTGCTACCATTACTCCAGAAATGGCGTATCGCGCAACGCGTAATATTGTTCGAAGGGCTGAACTCTGTTCGCAAGAACGAGGAAGGCACTTCGAACAATTATTAAATTAAAATATGAGAGTGGATTAGACCTACTGGGGATACCACTTTAAAAAAAATGCGCCGTGTTATCTACCGCAAGGTGGTGCGGAAAGGATAACAAATATTTTCTATGCCGCGAGAGAGAGAGAGAGAGAGAGAACTAAAGAGAGAGAAACGTTATTATCATTTATGATAAAAATAAAAATTATTATAATATAAACATAGTAAAATTTATCGAGTATATTTTTTATTTTATATTGTGATAGATATTAATATTTTTATTACAGTAAATATTAATCAGAAAAATTCTTATAAAATTCTTTCAATACCATTGTCCCACGATTACCATCATTTTTAGAGTAAATTTTAAGAAAAAATTTTCTCTGTGTAGTATTCGAATACATCCTATCAAAATTTTACGTTTTTTAAAATAATCAATAAATGATAATAATGAGAGAGGGAGAGAGAGAGAAAGAGAGAGTGAGTGAGTGAGTGAGGAACGTTATCATTTATGATAATAACGTTCCTCACTCTCTCTCTCTCTCTCTCTCTCTCTCTCTCTCTCGTTATTTTCATTTATTGATTATTTTAAAAACGTAAATTTTGATAAAACGTATCCGAATACTACACATAAAAAATTTTCTCTTAAAATTTACCCTGAAAATCATGGTAATCGTGGGACAGTAAGGTACTGGAAGAATTTTATAAGAATTTTTCTGATTAATATTTACCACAATAAAAATATTAATATCTACCACAATAAAATAAAAAATGTACTCGATTAATTTTACTATGTTCATATTAATAATTTTTAATGTAGTAAATATTAATCAGAGAAACTCTTATAAAATTTTTCCTACACCATATTATCCCACAATTACCATGATTTTCAGGATAAATTCTAATAAGAGAAAATTCTCTCCGTGTATGGTGTGATTTGCATCAGACTCTTATTTTGCTTTGTATGCATGTTAAATTTTAATGAGATACATCGTCGAAAATGATGTCAATGCGATTATTAATTTTTCAAAACTGTACTTTACAATAATTAATCAAGATGCCATTTTGAAAATAAAAAGATTCGTTTTTAATAAAGAAAGTGAGATGAAAAGGGAAAGAGAGAAAATAGTTGTCGCGGAGCTTTAGCGTTACGCGCCGTTCGTAGCCATCGCGTTCGCTCCTCCCTCCGCTTTGCCGCGCGCCGTGTATCGTGTGACAGGGGGCCGTCTCATCTCGTCGCGCGCTTATATTGGCCGATCTTTTTTATTTAATAACACAATAATTATTGCGAAAATCGCAAAACGGTAGAGGACTTTCCTATTCGGTTTAACTTACTCTACCTGCACACGACGGTTGAGGCGACCATTACCGGACACCCTATAAGTGACGCTTCATATAAAAAAGAAAAAAATTTAGTACTCTTACTTTATTTATGATAAACTGGTATGTCAACATTGGTTTACTCCGTACAACTCAGAAAACTGGATCGTCTGTTAATCAATTTTGCAAGTCTCATCATATGTCATCCGCTATTGCAAAACTGATTGTCCCACGTTCCACGTAAAAAAAAATCAACATTAAAATTTTCTTAAAAATATAAATAAACTTCAAGAGGGTGTCGGGTGGTCGTACACGCTGCGTCGCCGAAACTCGCCTGAGGCGAAGAAAAGGTGTCGTAACGCAGGTTCGAGTTCACCCAGACTCACAATCAGTAGAAATGAGGAAAAGTAAGTCATTGGTGGCTGTGCGCGCTGCGCCGCCGAAGTTCGGTTAAAAACGAATAGTATGGCGGAACGCAGACTCAAACCCACCAAAGACGCAATAGATATAATAAGGACTATAGATTAACAATAAGTTAGATATAAGATATAATGTATTAAGTATGAAATAAAGGAAGGATAAAGTCTCTTTGGCGAAAGCTGGGGACTCTAAATAAAAGGTATTTTTTTATAAATAAACTTCAAGCTTCATTTTTGTTTTTAAAGCATCTCGATATCATAATTATTAGCTACAATATAAATATTTTAAAGCCACAATCTCCACTTGATTCCTCTCGACCAATAGAGCCAAACGCGATGTTATTGCGACAATTATGAAAGAAAGAACATTTGAAAAGGAATTTGAATCCTATGGTTGGGATCTCAAAAATTCCCCCTGTTCCTTCTCTTAACATCCCCTGTAAAGAAATAGGCGAGAAAAATATTGGTCCGAAAGTCGGCTGAATCGGGACTCGAACCCGAGACCTTCCGCTTGCCGGGCGACTGCTCTTCCAACTGAGCTATTCAGACACTTACGAATAAATACTTTTCTCAATGTTTATACCCCCCCCCCCACCCACCCAAAGCGTCGTAATTAGGTCCAGACGCGACGAACAATAATGAGAATACTTATTGAGTCAGCTCTTTTAATTTTTAAAGCCACAATCTCCACTTGGAAAAGTGGCTTTAAAAATTAAAAGAGCTGACTCAATAAGTATTCTCATTATTGTTCGTCGCGTCTGGACCTAATTACGACGCTTTGGGTGGGTGGGGGGGTATAAACATTGAGAAAAGTATTTATTCGTAAGTGTCTGAATAGCTCAGTTGGAAGAGCAGTCGCCCGGCAAGCGGAAGGTCTCGGGTTCGAGTCCCGATTCAGCCGACTTTTGGACCAATATTTTTCTCGCCTATTTCTTTACAGGGGGTGTTAAGAGAAGGAACAAGGGGAATTTTTGAGATCCCAACCATAGGATTCAAATTCCTTTTCAAATGTTCTTTCTTTCATAATTGTCGCAATAACATCGCGTTTGGCTCTATTGGTCGAGAGGAATCAAGTAGAGATTGTGGCTTTAAAAATTAAAAGAGCTGACTCAATAAGTATTCTCATTAAATATTTTAAGTTTAATAAGTTTTTTATTTTTGTACTATATCGCTTTCTTGGCCAAATGTATATTTTATATATGTATATAACTTATTATCGAAAAAGTCCTTCCTTGTATAAAATTAATGCTTCAATATCAGCTTAATTTATGTAGACAAATTTTTTACCTCTGCATGGACAAAAACCTTTGCAGGCAATGTGGACGGAAGTATGGTGAATGCAGTTATGGTACTCGAGACGACATGGCGAACTATATGTTCGATTGTCACTTCCACAGAGAAACGTAGGCTTCACCACGGGACATTCTTGACACCTGTAACAAAAAAAACGAGTTTTAAATGCTTGGCTGACAACATATACGTTTATGTCTAGTGATTAATTCAAAATAAAGATCACAGTGTAAGATAAAATAGGTCTGTTCTATTTGACTAAACTGGTTGCACCAATTCAGAGTTTATCTCTTTCCTTCTAATGTGGAATAAAAAGATAAACTTTGAACTAGTGCAGCCAGTTCAGCCAAAAAGCCGAAAAGAACAGATCTAATAAGGTGATGCGAATTTTCTACAATACAACATTTTTACAATGTATATATATATATATATATATATATATATATATATGTCCTAGACAACGCAGAATATTTATAAAATATTTATAGAATATTTATAATAATTATTTTAATATTTTATAAATATTTATCATAAACATTTTATAAATGTTTTTAGAGTCTTAGATTCAATAGATCATAAATATTTATTATAAATATCAGAAAATATTTACGATAAATATTATGGTAAATATTATAAATAAATTTATTAAATCATTATGATACAGATTTTTTAAATTTATATTTTTTTTAATAAATACTCATTATTAAATCATGAATTAGAAAGATATAATCAACGATGTTTTAATCAAAACAATCGGTTGATATAATCTAATTAAAAATTTGGTCTATTAGATGTGTTTGTGTTTTTCAAACTCTATTAGCCATTTATAAAAAGTTAAAAATATGTAAAAAATGTTTATAAGTAACTTATTAAACATTTATTTTAAAATAGAATATAAAATTATAATATACACTGAATATACTTAGACAATAGTAGTTTAACAAGTAAATTTACGTACACATCGATACATACGTAAAGGCTATAGCCGGCTAAGGAGGTGAAAAGTACCCCCGCGCGAACTAACTTAAAAGTATTTGCGCAATGTTTATATACCAAAAGAAAGCTTTTTAGCGCGATTCATAACCCCGGTTTATATCCTCTTTTTCTCCTACAAAGCAAAAAGAAACTGTTTTTTTTTTAATTTAATTTTTTTCAATATCTATGTTTATAAATTCTTGATATAAAAATTATATTAATAAAAAAAATGTTTCTTCTTTACAAAAATAATTTTTTAAATTGTTTTACTATCATATTTTAATTTTAAAAATTACTAAAAATAAAAAATGCGATTTTTACAAAGTTCTTATAAAGGTGACGCCTTGAAAAAATTCTTGAATACTCTTTTCAAAACATAATAATTTATGGAATTTATTCAGAATTTTCTGATTGGTAAAATATATTTTTAAAAAATTAGAAACTATATTTTTACATAATTTTTCACATAAAATGTATATAAATCTTATGTATATGTATAAATCCTATGTATAAAAATCTTATGTATATAAATCCAATTATTTATTTTTAACTCAATATTTATATTAACTCAATATATCCCAATTTTTATTTTATTAAACGTATTGTATCATTTTTATTCATATAATGATATTAATATTAAGCTTTTGTATTATTACTATCTAATAAAAAATACTAAATCATTATGTATTTAAAAAATTATTTAATGCAAAAAAGTAAAATAAGATGAAGTTACATTACAGGATTAAACTTATGATCAAGAATAAATATAATATAAAATATAAAAATAAATATATAAATGTACAAATATAGAAAAACACAGAAATAATATGATTATTTATTATATCTGAATATTTTTATTTTTGAATTTTTATCGCTCAATCTTATTGCTGTCATCATTATTTATTGGTACGATGTCTTCACTATCAAAGATATATTTTAATTTTTCAGTAGGTTTAATAACGTACGACAAATAACAAGCAAATAAAAAATAATATATTATTGCTGCTAAATGAAAGCAAATACTCTCTACTGTTCGTCTGCGATAAAAATTCAAAAATAAAAATATTCAGATATAATAAATAATCGTATTATTTATGTTTTTCTATATTTGTATATTTATATATATATATATATATGTATATATATATTTATTTATTTATTTTTATATTTTATATTATATTTATTCTTGATCATAAGTTTAATTCTGTAAAAATGTAATTTTATTTTACTTCACTTTTGTGCAACCGGCGCGCGAAAAGTCACCCTTTACGCACATAATGGGATTTTAGAAAGGACTCCCTTTCCACACACTGGTCACACAAAATATCGTAGCCAACATGTGCGGGTCATAAATCGGCCGAGAGTGCGGAAGTTTGGCGCACGAGGCGAAGCCGATCCCCCGCACTTGTTAGCTAATATACTATTTTGCGTAAATTAATTTTTTAAGTACATAATAATTTAGTATTTTTTATTAGATAGTAGTAATACAAAAGCTTAATGTTAATATCATTATATGAATAAAAATGATACAATACGTTTAATAAAATGAAAATCGGGATGTATTGAGAATAAAATAATTCAAATTTGATGAAGTTGCCAGTAGATAAAATCAAAACACAAAAGTTTATTTTAAAATTCGACCACACTGGCAATGCTTTATTCAATCCTTAACACGACGTTTCGACCATGGATTTTGATCCTTATCAAGTGTACTAAATTCCGTTAGTTGACAAAAAACGGCCAATACTTTGTAAAACAAGATAAAACGAAAAAACTTTTCTGTTAAACACATCGTCATTACACATAAGAGGCTGAGAACAGACTTGGTCTATTAAACTCAACTAACGGAATTTAGTACACTTGATAAGGACCAAAACCCATGGTCAAAACGTCATGTTAAGGATTGAATAAAGCATTGCCAGTGTGGTCGGATTTTAAAATAAACCTTTGTGTTATAGAATTAATTTGACAACACTTCAAAATAATAGGTGTTATTATATATTTATTTAGAAAGGTATATTAATTACTTTTCGAACCATCCAATTAAGTACAAAATTAATACAATTATTAATCTCGTCGATCACGCAATACTATTGTCTGACCAACGGTTTCATGATTCTAATTTAAAGATTGTGACGAATACCCTAAAAAATAATTGCTTCCCAAACAATCTCATTAGAAAACATGTCAATGATAGAGTCTATGAATTGTAGTACTCGGTATGTAATGAAAATCAAGACGCAAATAAAGTTTCGACTGCAAACCTAGAAAAAATTACATCATCATTCCATATTGTAATCATTACTCTAATGATATTTATCGGTTCTTAAGAAAAAAGAAATTCAATGTAATATTTACAATCCTTAAAAAATTGAATTGTCTGGTAAAAAGCGGTAAAGATATTTTGAACGTTAATAAGCAAACTGGCGTAGTTTATTGTATTAATTGCAAGATGTGCGATTCAATTTATATGGGACAGACAAAGAGACATCTCGGTATAAGGATTAATAAACATCGACGCAATATTAATGATTCATCGAATATATAATTTTTCTGTTGTCAGTGAGCACAGACTTAATTTTAATCATGAATTTGATTGGTCCAATCCTTCTGTCTTGCATAAAAAAAATCATAGAAAGAAAAGAGACATTGCAGAAATGTCTTCATCAAAAAATTAAATCCAACGATTAATTCACAAAAGGACACGGAAATTTCAGCACTATGTATGATTGTTTATATAGAAATTAATGTGACTGTATGTATATAATTTATCTTTCGCCTTCGTATATCTTAGTACAGATCGTTCTGTTGAAGAAGTATGACATAATCTGTACTCGTTTTGTATTTTTATTTTTAGTCTAATGTTTTTATTTTAATTAATTAACATATGTTACTCTCCGAATTAATAATTTAGACGCACACTCCGAAGAAAGTATGGTTAATTCTCTGTAAGTTTTTTAGTTTGTGTTTCTATTTTTTATACAATTTACCTAACTTTGTTTATATCAGTCTTTCTAGGTTGTTCTAATTTTATTTTTAAAAGGACCACATCCCGCATGGTCGAAACGTTAAATATATAATAACACCTATTATTTTGAAGCCAGTGTTGTCAAATTAATTTTATAACCCTGTTTTAATACTCCTGGCAAAGAAAATTACATTAATTTATCGTTAAAAATAATTGAGTATAATATAAATATTTATGTATAATTGAAATACATTTATAATAAATATAAGATAAAAAGTTTATAAAATAAACATTAAAATATATTATATAAAAATATATTAAAAATAAATATTTATAACTAGATTTAATGTATAAGGTTAGATTTATATACATTTTATGTGACAAATAGTAGTATAATAAAATATGATTTCTAATTTTTGTAATATATTTCACCAATCAAAAAATTCTGAATAAATTCCATAAATTATTATGTTTTGAAAGGAGTATTTAAGAATTTTTTCAAGGTGTCACCTCTATAAGAACCTTGTAAAAATCGCATTTTTTATTTTTAGGAATTTTTTAAATTAAAATATAACAGTAAAACAATTAAATAGTATATTAGCTAACAAGTGCGGGGGATCGTAAATCGGTCGAGAGTGCAGAAGTTTGGCGCACGAGGCGAAGCCGAGTGTGACAATCCGCACGATCGGCCGATTTATGACCCGCACATGTTGGCTACGATATTTTGTGTGACCGGTGCGTGGAAAAGAAGCCCTTTCTAAAATCCCATCATGTGCGTAAAGGGCGACTTTCTGCGCGCAAGTTGCATAAAAAATTATTAATAAGATTTTAGAAGATAGGTAAATATAAATATATATATTACTTTCTAAAACATAACATATATAGTTATTTTGAGATTATATGTAGTGATGTAAGGAATTAATTATCACGGGAAAGATGTCAACGGCCCCGACCGTCGCATGTGCATCGGGTATTTTATCGATCGTGCGATTACGTCACCGGTGGGCCCGTCGTGGTACACTGGCGTTTATTTTCTCACTCTGTGTAACACTCATGACTTTACTTTGTTTTGAATAAACGGTTTCTCTTGTATCGTAAGACGCGTGTTTTGTGCTCCGCCCCGACCTTCTCGAATCCTGATCCCGACTGAGCAAGTCCCGGCCGTTTCGGGAAATAGGCCCGTTACAAATGTTTACAAAATAATTACTATAAATATTTATCTTTACATACCATAAATATTATATTTAATCTATGCTTTAATAATATATTAAATAAAGACTTTTATAAAACATTTTCAAAATATTTATATATAATATTTGAAAAAATATATATTCATAAATATTTATGAATTTTTATCATAAATATTATGTACTGTCTGGGATATATTGAAGAATTTCTAACCTCCTTCGTGAGAGGCGCTAGAAGAACGTAAGCTGTATTTATTTATGCAACACATAGTAAAGATTAAAACTGAAACATTTACAAAAGTTATAAGGCTTATTTTTGTGTTGTACATACTCATATACAAATATTTCAATGTGTAGCCTACACGAAACTTTCGGCGAATTTTTATAGAAATATCTCGCGCTAAGTCCGTCGAATGCTTTTATGTATTAACAGATAGGTTGTGGCATCACCTTACTCTCTTACAATGTGATACAGATTTATGTACACTTATCCGCTTTGTATTCATATCATTCCATCAAGATTGGACGCGAATATTTATATTTACACATATCCAAATCGCATTTGTTTTCAAAACACGTGCAAAAGTAATTATTTTCAAAACAAATGCAAAAGTAATTAAAAACAAGTATTTATTGTTGGGCTAAAGGAGCTTAAATAAGTTAAATTCGTGAGTTACATCAGTAATGCTATATAATTATTTAAGAACAAATTTTGACTTTAACATCCAGATCGAAAACATAAATAAAAATAAAATGATATAACTAGACAGACGTTTCAATCCATATCTCGGATTCTTTTCAATGTCATATACATTAACAAAACGCCAAAAGGTTGGATATTAACATAAGTGATAACGCAAATTCATTATATAAATGATAACTTAATTGTAAAATTCGCTGCTCAAACATGCTTAAATGCAGAACTTATACGTAGATCCCACCGTTCGCAAATCGACATTCCTTGCCCTTAAAAACGGCTAAATTTTCCCAAAAACTTGCAGACTTTAAAATAAATATATAAATATGCTGTTTTCTAAGTCGGACAATAGAGCCAAAGAAACGAAAAATTAATTATTCGGAACTGTATCTCAATTTGAGATCCCAAAGTTCCATATATAAATTAATCTCGAAACTTACATATGGAGAAATAGGCGCGAAAAATATAGGTCCGAAAAGTCGCTGAAACGGGAATCGAACCCGCGTCTTTCACTTTCCGGGCGACTGCTTTTACCAACTAAGCTATTCAGACCCTTTCGATCCTATATTTTTCATTTGCCTTTTTAGTAGATGTTAGTAAATACCGCCGTGATTAGGCCAAGGCGTGAATAAACTCAGAAATAAATATTTTTATCGGCTCTCAATATAAAGAATATAAATATGCTGTTTTCTAAGTCGGACAATAGAGCCAAAGAAACGAAAAATTAATTATTCAGAACTGTATCTCGGAACTGTACTTTGGGATCTCAAATTGAGATACAGTTCCGAATAATTAATTTTTCGTTTCTTTGGCTCTATTGTCCGACTTAGAAAACAGCATATTTATATTCTTTATATTGAGAGCCGATAAAAATATTTATTTCTGAGTTTAAAATAAGTATGTTGAACCGCCTAAAGAAGATAATTAAATAAATGTTAGGAAATAAAAGTAATTAAAATGTCAACTTACAAAGCGGAGGAACCCAGAGATTTGGAAAGCCATGAATATATCTTCCATGTGTCAAACGTCTTAACTCAACGAGACTCACTTACAGACTGTGTCAAATTCTCGTTGGTCTCGATCAAAATAAACTAAAAACATCGAGTTCAAATAATAGGCAAAACATCTTCCGATTTGTGTACCGATAAAATTGTAACTGTCAATTATTAAATTAAAAAATAATATGAGAAAGTTTACTGAAAATTGTAACCGTCAAATTATTAAAAATTAAACTAAATTAATGAAAGTCAAATTATTAAAGTTTGAATAAATTAATGAAAATGTGATATTATTAAAATTGAAATAAATTAATAAATGTCGTCAAAAAAATAAATTAATATAAACAAATTAATGAAAGTCAAAATATTAAAAGTAAAATAAATTAATAAAAATGTCAAAAATATTAAAAATTGAAATAAATTAATGAAAAAGTCACATTATTAAAAATTAAAAGAAATTAATGAAAGCCGTCAAATTAATCAATTAATAAATTAAATCGGATCGATTATTACCACTGATAAAAAACATATTATTCTTTTCAAAGTTTTCCTAAGGAATTAATGATAGGGAAATATGAGAAATGGAGAGATTCTGTGTCGCTCTGCAAGTTAATACCATTTTTTTGTCTTTTAATAAAAATATTTCAGATGTTAATCTTTTAAAATAATGTGGCTCTCTATCTAATATCCTAACATTTTCCCAATCAAAATAATGTTGTTCAGAAATGCGATGATCAGTGATAACCGAATTTTGCGTATAATTCTTTTTGATGTCGTTGCAATGTTCCTTAATACGCGTCTTGAGTAATCTTTTGATTTGCCCCACATACGATACATTGGCGACACAAAGGCGTTTGTTAATCAACATTATTATATATATATATATATATATATATATATATATATATATATATATAGCAGAGAAAAGTATATAATCGAAAGGATCTGAATAGCTCAGTTGGAAGAGCAGTCGCCCGGCAAGCGAAAGGTCTCGGGTTCGATTCCCGATTCAGCGACTTTCGGATCTATATTTTTCTCTCGCATTTATTTCCTTAGGGGGGAAGAGGGGATGTATGGAATTAAATCTCTTGTAGAGATTATTCCAATTTTAAATCTTGGCCGTGACCAAGTAAAATTTGGTGCCTTGTGCACAGGTATTTAATTCTAACGAAAAAAATTTAGTTTCGTTGGGATAACGCACTGTCATCCGCGATTTGACTCTTATTGCCTGTCTTACATTTGAAATTTATATTTATATTACAGAGCCTTGTTAAACTCTTAATATTATTACCTTCAATAAATAATACTATTCTTATTTTATGCAATTTTTTCACTGTAACTTTAAAACAATCGACTTTAGAGCATATGTGTATTAAGACTTTTTTACTTAGAATGACACCAAGAAAATACAGTTTTAGTATAGATATCACGTTGCGGGATACCTTGTATATATATAGATAAATACAAAATTATATTACAAAATAAAATGTTTGAAATTCTCTGTTCTTATAATAGAAATTTTTCTTCTCTTTGAAAGTTGTAACATGTGGTTTTCAAACAAAATGTTACTTTCAAAATTAATTATTTCTGAAACTTTGTTATATTAAACAAAAGTATGCGCACACAATGTGGCTTTTTTATAAATAAAATTGTTGAATTATTTCAAAAAATATCTAGTGTACATGTATATAGAAATCGCATTTTATTGCTCAAATTCACTAATATTAATAAAATCTAGCTATATCGCAAAAACTATTCAAGAATACTATTCAAGAAGATAATATTCTTCGGATAAAATTAAAAATAAAAAATTCTACGCAAATAAAAATACTTGCTTCAAGAACTTTGTATCTTATTTTTCAAAACTTAAAAAAATATTTACAATTGATTGAGCGAATAATAAAATTATTACTTACTTTGATTCGTCCTGATCATCATCATCGTCTTCGGAATCAAAGAAGGCATCATCGTCATCTGAATCAACTGAAATTTCAGTTCTCATGCGTCGCTGTTGATTTGCACGAGACTTTGGAATCACTATGTCCCTAAAAATAGATTTATATAATTTATAAAAAATACTCTATTATCATAAAAAAATATAATAATTGATTTCAAAAGAGCAATTTAACTTTATTATTTGCCAAAATCCTTAGAAATATTTCTAAATATAATATAAATGGATTTAATTTCATCGAAACTAACGCATCAACATCCGCGTTTGACTCTTACGCCTATTTAATGTTTAATTATATTATATAGAAGCCTTATTAATGCTTAAATTCTGCTTCACTGCAGTCATATTAGATTGTGACGTCAGAGGCGAAAAAGCACACGCTGAAAATTCTTAAATGTCATTTTTCTATGAAAAGATATTTCGATAAAATACTACTTCAGATGGCTTGAAAAGATATTTCAATAAAATACTACTTCAGATGGCTTGAAAAGATATTTCAATAAAATACTACTTCATATGGCTTTAGCACATTTTTAGAATATATCAAAAACTATTTTTTTTTCCTTTGTCAATTAACAACCATAAAATGATTGTGATATCAGATTAAAAAACAAAAAAAATGATTGTGATATTAGTCATGCAGAATGACTCCGCATGTGCACAGATCAGACAAATGGCCTCATATTGCAGTCGCTTTACAACTGTTGATTGATTAGAAAGAAAAAATGAATTTTCAAGGTATTGTAAGAGTTATGCTAAAGTTATCTGAAGTGCTATTGTAGCGACTTATGAATAAATTCACCAGATCTTTTTAAGAAAGTAATGTTTATTCATTGAAAGTATAAAGCGAAAGACAAAAAGAATTAATATATAACAAATAAATGAATGAATGTGTTGTTATGGAAATATTGATTTTTCTTAAAAACATTATGTTAATTAATGAATTGAAGTTATTACAAATGTATAAAGATGTAAAAAGTGTAAAAATGCAGTAAAAAGTGTAAGGTGTAATAAAAGTGTAGAGTGTAAATGAAAGGTGTGGATGATGAATGCTACAGTAAACTCCCCCCCAAGTAACGATATTCGTTGCAAAATGGACTTTCTTCTTCTTTGGTGGGTAGATACGTAGAGCTTTTCCAACAGTAGAAGAAGAAGAAGGAGGATTTGAAGTAGCAGAAACAAGAGCTGAAGTAGCAGAAACAGGAGCTGAAGTAGCAGGAACAGGAGCTGAAGATCTGGTAGAAAGTTCAGTAGAATCTGAAGTTCTAGGAATGAAGGCTGGCTTAAGACGTTCTGTCGAAATATTGACAACTCTTCCTGAAACATTAACTGCAAATAAATGATCAGAGATACGTTTCTCAATAGGAAAAGGGCCAGAATAAGGAGGTTGTAGTGACTTCCTAACAGCATCTTCTCGAATCCAAACATGAGTACAATCAAAAAGATTCTTGTGAACGAAAGGTGATCTTTTGCAATGATGACTTGTAGGAGATGATCTGATATTCCTCATATGAATCCTGTGTTTTTCAAGAAAGATTTCAGGATCTGCAGGAAAATCTTCTTCAATGAAAAATTCTCCAGGAATACGAAGAGTGGATCCATAAAGAAGTTCTGCTGGTGAAGCTTTTAAATCTTCTTTGAAACACGAACGTAATCCCAAAAGAACTGAAGGTAACGATTCTATCCAGTTGGTTGTTTCGTGGCACATAATCGCTGCTTTCAAAGTTCTATGCCATCTTTCCAGAATTCCATTTGAAGCAGGATGATAAGCAGAAGTTCTAATCCTTTGACAGCCAATTAGGTTTGTTAAAGCTTTGAATAAAGCTGCTTCAAACTGAGAACCTTGATCTGTTATAATGCTGATAGGAGAACCAAAACGTGCTACCCAATGTGAATAAAATGTTGTAGAAACAGTTTCAGCAGAAATCTCAGAAATAGGAACAGCTTCAGGCCATCTGGAAAAACGATCAATCATAGTAAGACAATAACGGTAATTTTGACAAATAGGAAGTGGTCCAACAATGTCTAAATGCACATGCTGAAAGCGTTGATCAGGAATTGCAATCTTAATTAGAGAATTCTTGGTGTGTTTTGAAATCTTCGCACGTTAACATGGAAGACAAGTTCGAGTCCATTCCTTCACATCTTTCTTCAAAGAAGGCCAAATGAATTTCAGTAGTAGTTGTTTAGATGTCAATCTGCCGCTGGGGTGAGCGAGTCCATGAACAACATCAAAAATTCTCTTGCGTAAGAGTTTAGGAACATATGGACGAATTAATTCCGAAGAACAATCACAATAAATAGGTATGGTTGATCCTGAAAGAATAAGTTTCTTCAACAGAAGTGAAGAATTTGAAGAAAGTAAAACTTGAAGTAAAACTTGAACTTGTTCTTCATCTTCTTTCTGATAATTAGCAAGTTCTTCTAAAGAAACTATAATAGGCATTGAAATAGATTCAATTCTTGACAGAGCATCAGCAACTGAATTCATTTTTCCAGAAATATAGGTAATATTTGTAGAGAATTGAGCAATAAAGTCCAATTGTCTGATCTGTCTTGGTGACGCTTTATCCAATTTCTGACGGAAAGCAAAAATCAAAGGTATATGATCAGTTCTGATAATCAGTTGTCTTCCTTCAACAAAATGTCTGAAATGTTTAATAGCCAAATAAATGCTAAGAAGTTCTCATAAGTGCTATAATTTCTTTGAGCTTTGTCTAGTTTCTTTGAGAAAAATGCTATTGGTTTGATATCGTCGTCAATAGACTGTTCAAGTGATGCACCAACAGCAAAGTCAGAAGCATCACTAGTTAAAATAAGAGGAGCATGAGGAGCAGGATGAGAAAGGGTAGTAACTTGTAAAAGTTCTTCTTTACATGACTCGAAAGCTAATTCCGCTTCTTTAGTCCAAGATATAATTCTTCTATCCCTCTTGCGACTGTCCTTTAAATATTCTGTTAACAGAGCTTGATGATTTGCAGCATCCTTGAGACAGCGACGATAATAATTGATAATTCCTAAGAATTTGCGTAATTCATGAAGTGTCTTAGGTTTAGGATAATCAATAATTGATTTCACTTTTTCGGATGTAGGTTTAACTCCTTGGTTAGAAACTAAGTAACCAAGAAAAGAAATCTCGCTTTGACCAAAAGACATTTAGCGACATTGATTGTCATTCCAGCTTGTTGAAGACGATCAAAAATAATGCGTAAGTGAGCAATATGTTCTTTCTCGTCTTTAGAAGCGATAAGAATGTCATCAAGATAACAAAAGGCAAAACTCAAATCATTAAGTAAAGAGTTCATGAGCCGTTGAAAAGTTTGGGCTGCGTTTCGTAAACCGAAAGGCATTACGACAAATTCAAAAAGCCCAAATGGAGTAGTAACAGTTGTTTTGTGAATATCTTCTTTAGCAACGGGTACTTGATAGTACGCTTTAACTAAGTCGATTTTAGAAAAGATATTCTTACCAAAAAGTGAAGAAGAAAAATCTTGAATATGAGGTAAGGGATAATGATCCGGGATAGTCACTGAATTGAGTGCACGATAATCACCACCAGTCTCCAAGAATTTTGTTCCTTTTTAGGTATGTAGAGGGGCTGCCCAGGAGCTGCTTGAAGGCCTGCAAATTCCTTGCTCCATCATAGACTTGAATTCTTCCTTGGCACATTTAAGTTTCTCAGGAGTAAGTCTTCTGGGAGTCGAAAATTTAGGAGAACCTTCCGTAAAGATATGATGTTCAACACCATGCGTTTTTACCGAGGAAATTGGAGAAAAACGGGTGAGTCCTGGAAATTCGGTTAAAAATTTGTGGTACACAGAATCAGGAGATGTGGTAAAAATGACAAATGCGCAACTTCTTGAATTTTTCCAGTATTCATAAGACCGGTAACGTTATCAATCAATTTCTTGTTTTTAATGTCAATCAGGAGATTAAAATGACAAAGGAAATCGGCGCCTAAAATAGGACGTTGAATATCCGCGACACAAAATTTCCATTTGAATTCTCTCCTAAGACCGAGGTTCAAAATTAAAGTTTTAGAACCGTAAGTACTAATTTGAGTACCATTTGCGGCAAAAAGTTTTAAATTAGTATGCCACGGCTTCAATAAAACCCTTTTAGGTAATAACAATATATCAGCGCCCGTATCGACAAGAAAATTCAAATTTGAATGTCTGTCGAAAATAATGAGGCGATTGTTAGAAACACCGTCGTAAGCAGCCTCAGTCTTAAACGGCGTTTTTAGTTTTCCTGTGAAGCCAAGAATGTTTTGGACATAGAACAAGGTAAAGTACATCGTTTAGCCTTATCACCAAACTTCTTATGGTAAAAGCAAATTGATGTATCTTTAATATCTTTATTTGATTTGTCTTTGTTACGCGATAACGATCTAAATCTTCTATTCTCTCTAGACCGGCTTTAGGAACGATCTCGACGACGAGAAACTTCAAGAGCTTCGATTCTTCGTAGCAAATCTGCGAAATCCGAAGATTTATTATTTGCATTATTGGAAACTTCCGCGACTTGCAAACCGCCGTCCCGATCAGCAATTTTATCGGCTAATTCCGCAAGTTTAACAAGAAGAACATCTTCTACTACGGCTAAAGTCGTTTGAATTCTATGTGGTAAGCGTTGAAGCCAAATCATTTGCAAAACACTATCCGCTAAAAGATCCTCCAGACAAATGACGAATTTCTCGAAGTAATTCCGAAGGCTTTTTATCGTTAAGTTCAATTCCAGCTAATATTTGTCTCAAACGTTTTTCCTCTGAATCCGTAAAGCGATTTATTTTCTTTAAATAATTATATTTATCTGTTTTAGGTGGATTTTCAATGACTTCAGATATGTTTATTAAGGCTTGTTCATCAAGATGACGAATGACAGAACTATATTTAATATCATCTGATCGAATTCGATAAACCGTAAACTCACTTTCAATAGAAGCAAACCAGAGTTTAGGTTGCTTATGCCAGAAAGTCGGTAGTTTTAATAAACTAAACTCATTTGAGTGAATTTGTAACATAGGATCACTCACTTGATGTCCAGTTTGAGAAGGTAAAATATTAATATTATCTGATCCAACCTGATTTGATCCGCTCGCCAAATCCATATCAATCTGTGTATCCGTAGAGAGTCTAACTGGTGATCTATCGATTAGCATTTTCCTCTTGTTCCAGGAATCCGATAAAATGATTTGAGAATTTCCGTGAAGGACTAATTCGCCTCTGATGTTTCAAAGATCCAGAGAATGAATCTCTTAAAATCAGAATATCCAGCAATTCCTCCAAGCAATGATAATATTTCGTAGACGTCAAATACGACGATCACTTGACACTTATTCCGCATCAGCTTTTAAAATGCGTCGGCTTTAATATCACGTCGGGGTCACCAAAAATGTAGCGACTTATGAATAAATTCACCAGATCTTTTTAAGAAAGTAATGTTTATTCATTGAAAGTATAAAGCGAAAGACAAAAAGAATTAATATATAACAAATAAATAAATAAATGTGTTGTTATGGAAATATTGATTTTTCTTAAAAACATTATGTTAATTAATGAATTGAAGTTATTACAAATGTATAAAGATGTAAAAAGTGTAAAAGTGCAGTAAAAAGTGTAAGGTGTAATAAAAGTGTAGAGTGTAAATGAAAGGTGTGGATGATGAATGCTACACTAAATTTCATCTAAATAACTTTTTATTTCGAAATGGCATCTAAGAATTTTTAACGTGTGTTTTCTCGCCTCTGACATCACAATTCCAACATAGTCGGTGAAGAGTCAGCAACCTTAAATTCATTATTTAGTTATAAAATTATTGTTTGAACAAGTCACAACTGAGCATTAGAATAATTTTATTAGGCATGTTAGAGATGAAAAGAAAAAGATTGACTATATATGTATAGCTGATAGTATGATTGACAAGATACATTTATTAATAATTAATTTCACAGGCAAAACAAATTCTAAAACTTCTAATAGCGATTAATCCTATATCAATCTTGTAATAGCTTTACTGTTATTCATGACTTCTTTGTATTTTATTATTACTATTATTATTATAAAATTATTTATTATTATTATTGTTGATGTTATTGTTGTAATTGTTGTTGTCGTCGTTATTGTTATTGCTGTTATTATTTTTATTATTAAATCCTTCACAATATAAACAATAGTATCCGTATACGTAAACATAAAGGTTATTCGATCCTTTCTTTATGTTAATTTTCATTTGTTAGTAACTTTTAATAAACAATAAACAACGATTAAAATCTTCCAAATGTAACTATTGTTAGAATTATCAGCTTGATAACATATGTCAAGATTATGATTATTGAAATTGATTCTCCCCATCTTTCGAGACTCTCAAATCGAGTACTTACCTTTTTATTATTATAAACAATATTGATACTATAAAATATCACATTTTTTTATATAAAAATATATAATTGCAAATATTATAAGATTACAAATATTATCTTAAAACAGGAACGAAATATTTAATTCGACCCAAACTAGCCAAGAAAATTTTTATTTTATTTCCACAACGTTTCGATCATCTGTTTTTGGTCCTTTTCAAGTGAAAAACTAGAATGGTACAATTAATTAAAATTAATAAACATTTTTTATGTTAAACGCAAGAATTAAAATTTTTATACATACTTCCTTGATAAAAGCGCAGTTAGTTGACACTGTTGTCATGATTATTAAACAATATGATTATCGGACTTTTTTTAAAAACATTTGAAATAACTTTTGAAAGAAAGTAACCGCATTTTATCGTTATGATGGATCATCAAAAAACTGAGTATATAAAATTTTATACGACCTTTATAATTTTGTCATAGATATTGTTTAAATTTTCTGTGTTTTTATGTAGGTTAACTGTATTATTAACTTTTTTGATAAAAAACATCTCTGCGATTTCTCTCTTTCTAACATGTTCTTCATTATGTAATATAACGGGTGATACCCAATCAAATTCATGTCCCAATTCTTGTCTATGTTTGCTTATGACCGAATGATTTGTTACATGTAATTTTATATTGTTAGAATGTTCTTTTATACGAGTACGCAAATGTCTTTTTGTTTGACCGATATATGAGGAATCACAATTTTTACAGTCAATTTTATACACAATATTAGTTCTATCGTCGTTAGGTAATCTATCGTTTTATTAATATGTCCAATTTTTTGGCTGTTTTATAGACTACACTAAAGCCAGCATTTTTCAATAAACAACCGATATTCTTGCTAACATTTTTGACATACGGCAATGAAATATAAGGAGACTTGTTTTCTCGCACTTCGTAAGTCTCATTTGTAACATTATTACTATTATTATTTTTTAGATAATTAATTCTTTTATTTATATGTCGTTTAATAATATGTGTTGAAAAGCAATTGTTCATTAAAGTCTGCTGTACTATATTAATATTCTTATTATGATCATCTGATAGTAAAATGGCATGATCTATGAGATTGTAAATGGTGTTGATTTTGTATTTTAACGGATGATTGGAGTAAAAGTTTATATATCTTCCGGACCAGGTGAGTTTTCTGTACCAATTCGTAATAAGCTTTTTATCATTGCGAATGACACTAGTGTTCAAAAAATTAATTACAGAATTATTTTCTATTTCGTATGTAAATTTCAATCTTTGATGATAATTGTTAAAAATTGATAACATATCATATATTTTTTTACGTGGCAAAATTGCAAAGACGTCATCAACATATCTATAATATACAGGTACATCAACGTTTAATAAACTCAAACATTGTGTCTCTAGGTCGTCCATTACAATGTCCGCCAAAATTGGTGATAACGGGGAACCCATAGGACTACCAAAAATTTGCTCATAGAATTGTCCGTTAAAGCTAAAACTGGTCGAATCCAAAATAATTTCAATTGCGTATATAAACTGAGATAAATTAAATTTTGTTTTTCTCTATGTCGCTCCAGCGCTTCTTGATGCCGTCTATAACTAATTCCTTGGGAATATTTGTAAATAAGGAACTAACATTCAAAGAAATCATTACATCGTCATCATTAATAGGCATATCTTTAATGTTTTTTGCAAAAGACCACCCATCTTTAATATGGGAATTCGGTTTTTTAATAAAGCTGTACAATATGTTGTGAATGTAGCTCGAGAAATTATACAGTGGACTACCAATTGACGATACAATAATTCTCAATGGAAAACCAATTATCTTATGAATCTTGGGTAACCCGTAGCAACGTGGTAAGTTGCCGTTACTGCAATTGAGTTTTTTATAAGTAAATTCATCTATTAAATTATTATTAAGCCAAGATTTTGTTAAGAAATTTAATTTGTTCGTTAGAGCCTTAATAGGATTTTTCTTTAATTTTTTGTAAGTAGAGTGGTCACTTAATAGAAGTTCCATTTTCTCAAAATAATCTACCTTATCCATGACGACAGTGGTCTGGCCCTTATCAGCTCTCGTGACAAGAATCATTGTCACGTAAAAACTTTTTGCAAATTGAAAACTCTTTTTGAATGTATCTATCTAAATAATTAATATGTTTCCGTTCACAAAGGAATCTTTGAAGTGTATTTGCAACTGAGAGTCGAGTTACTTCAATGGAATCCTTAGGAATATTTTAACAATTTGATTCAAAATTTTAACAACGTCAAGTACATAATTTATGCGGTCATTCTTTTGAGATTGGTCAACAGGTAAAGAAAAATTATCACCTAAGCTTAAAAGGTCAGAAACTGTTTTAAATTGTTAAATTTCTTAATCGCATTGTTTTTCTTTCTAAGTTTAAATGTCAACATTTTTTGTTTATTGAATTGGAAAAAACCAATCACTAAGTCATGTGGCAAACTATCAAAAAGTTTTTCTTCGATAATTTTGATCTTTATACGTAGATAATTTAAGTTAATATTTTCATCCTGAATCTCTAAATTCAACAATCTAAATTGATTCCTCAAAATACCGTTGTTAAACTTACGAATAACGTTGTTGCTATGAAAAACGATGTTAGTTTTCAAGTTCTTGATATGTGACGGAATTAAATCGCATCTTCTACATCGTAATAAAAATATTAGTTGTTGGTTAGAAGTAAGCATTTTCTTCTTGCAGTTTATCCATGATTTCAAAAGACGTGTGTTACTGATGTCAAATCGTTCAGAAATCATTTTGTAGAAACCGTTGATATATGAAGAGTCGGAATATGAATTTGATTGGGATATGAATTTGATCACCCGTTATATTACATAATGAAAAGCATGTTAGAAAAAGAGAAATCGCAGAGATATTTTTTATCAAAAAAGTTAATAATACGGTTAACCTACATAAAGACACAGAGAATTTAAACAACATCTATGACAAAATTATAAAGGTCGTATAAAATTTTATATACTCAGTTTTTTGACGATCCATCATAACGATAAGATGCGGTTACTTTCTTTCAAAAGTTATTTCAAATGTTTTTAAAAAAAGTCCGATAATCATATTGTTTAATAATCATGACAACAGTGTCAACTAACTACGCTTTTATCAAGGAAGTATGTATAAAAATTTTAATTCTTGCGTTTAACATCAAAAATGTTTATTAATTTTAAATAATTGTACCATTCTAGTTTTTCACTTGAAAAGGACCAAAAACAGATGGTCGAAACGTTGTGGAAATAAAATAAAAATTTTCTTGGTTAGTTTGGGTCGAATTAAATATATTGTTCCTATTTTAAATACCACTAGCGACGTTTTAAGTATTCAATTTGATTTTATCTTAAAACGTTTTTAAAAAATTTAAGAATTTATAACTAAACTCAATACTTACCCTGATTTATGAAGCTCCTTTTTTGAAACGCAGACAGCAGTAAACATATCTTCCAAGAGGCAAAGTTCTTTCTTTTTGCAGTTGAGTGGGCGACAAAGTTCATCTAATACAGAATATAAACAAGAATCGTTTTTATAATATATCATCCATTAGATATTAGATCATATAATGAAATTAGATTTATACTTTGAGGCATTATCAAAGGAACGTTTTTTGTCTGTTTTTACTCTAAATTACTCTAAAAATTTAGATGTAATAAAAATCTCCGAAAATTTTATTTTTATTATTTTTTAATATATCTTATCTTTTAATAATCACTAATATAATAATAAACTTTAATAAAATTTAAATTAATAATTAAAATTAATAAAAATGTAAAATTAAGATTAATAAAAATGTAAAATTAAAATTAATAGAAATAGTTATTTATTAAAAAAATAAAGCTTTAAAATTAAAAATAATTGCTTTGTAACCTACTATTTAACATTAATCTAAAAAAATTAAGAGTTTAACAAGTACTCTGTACACTCTGTAATATTAAATATAAATCTAAAGTGTATAAACAGGCAATAAGAGCCAAATCGCGGATGACAGTGCGTTATCTCAACGAAACTAAAATTTTTTCGTTAGAATTAAATACCTGTGCACAAGGCATCAAAATTTACTTGGTCACGGCCAAGACTTAAAATAGGAATAGTCTCTATACATAAAATTTATAATTCCATACATCCCCTCTTCCCCCCTAAGGAAATAAATGCGAGAGAAAAATATAGATCTGAAAGTCGCTGAATCGGGAATCGAACCCGAGACCTTTCGCTTGCCGGGCAACTGCTCTTCCAACAAGTAAAATTTGGTGCCTTGTGCACAGGTATTTAATTCTAACAAAAAAATTTTAGTTTCGTTAACGCACTGTTATCCGCGATTTGGCTCCTATTGCCTGTTTATACACTTTAGATTTATATCTAGAAAAAAAATTTTTTTCATAAACGTAAGTTCTCTATTTTCTCCGCCATTGCTATAGATATAACATTATTTTTTTTAATTAAATAGAACAGATTGTCCGAACATTTGGTAGCAGCGCGAAGTTGAATTCGACCATGAATCTTTTTATTAGCTATATAGATTGAAAAATCCTTTTAATCTCCCCGTTTGCTAATATTATTACGTCCCTGCCACAATGTTATTGCGGCAAAGATTGAAGTTCTTTTCCCAAAACATCAATGTCAAGAGAGTTATTGATTGATCGATGGACGAATGTTTTCCGTGGCGATATTCAGATTTGATCTGAGCTACCGATTCGTACGGATGTTTTTTGGGACCATTGAGTTTTCCTTGCATGCATATATTATTATATTTTCGCGAGATTCGTCAATTACAAGAGAAAGGACGACGACAACGAGCCGAATTTGAGGCAATATTACGCCAAAGAGATGACGAGCTTCTTCGTTTTGAGGAAGAGATACCGACAACAGCAAATGGCTAACGCACAGCTAAGTCCTTCTAGAAATAGAGATATTAACGAACAAATTAATCATAGTCTTTATGCGAGTACGTCTTTACGCAAATTTTTCACACAGTTCCAGCTGATAGCACAAGCGAATGCATGGTCTGATTCATAAAATGATTCATAAAAAAACGGTAGCATTAGCGCTGTATTTGAGAGGTAAAGGCCGTTCTGTTTTAGATGGAATTTCTGATATTGAAAATTTAAAATCAAGATTAGAATTACGTTTTGGGGAAGGGCATTTGGCCCAAATGTATTATTATACCCAATTTACAAATAGGAAACAAAAATTTTCAGAAATTATAGCAATGTTGGACGCGGATTTAGAACGACTTTTACATTTAGCTTATCCGGAGTATTCACATGAAGTAAGGGACAAAATTGCTTGTGCGCAATTTATCATTGCGCTATCAGATGAATTCATTAAGCGCACATTACAATTAGAAAGTATGACTTCTTTAAGATCAACCGTGGAAAGAGCTATGGCGGTTAAAAAAGTTATACAAGAAAATAGTTTTCGAAAAAATGGTGAAAATAAAAGAAATTTTTAATTTAAAAATAGAAATAAATTTAGGAATTTCGAGATTAATAAAGAAAACATACAATAAAATTAAAGTGGAGGAAAAAAAGGACATAATAATAAAGAAAATCCTTCTAATAAAAAAAAAAATAATTTTTCTCAAAATAAAGAATTTCAGCAATGTAGGGTCAAAGGACATTTCGGTGCAGAATGTCCTGTTTTTAACGAGGAAAACAAAGGTTAGTCGAGCTAAACGGAGTAATTTCGGCTAGAGAAATTGATGCCCCGAAAATTATATATAAATGTTCAGCTATAAATAAGCTTAATAAAAATTTATTTAATTTTAAAGGAAAAATAAATAATAAATTTTGTAAATTTAGAATCAATACAGGTTCAGAAATTTCGATTTTAAGTAAGAGATTATAATTAAGGAGTTTAGTCGACAAATTAATAAAAATGATTCTTATTTGAAATATTTTATAGGAGAAACGTTTGGAATTTTTGAAGTTGTTGTAAAAATGGAAATATAGAGAGGTATTCTCTAGAAGTTCCTTAGTATGTTAGTAACTGAAATTTTGAACAATTGTATTTTAGGAGTTGACTTCCTATAAATGATTAATTTAGAAAAGATATTCGATTCTGTTTTGAAGATATTCAGAAATGTAAAGAATTTTCTTGTTGTCGCATTCAATCGAAAGATAGGGTTCCTAATTTTTGCAAAGGCTTTTTGAAGAAAATTCAGAGAATTTGAATTTTAAACAAAAGGATATTTTTGCTGAATTCTTGAATGAGTTTCAAGATGTATTTTCTGAAGACATTGTTGTAGGAAATTGTGAGGCTGTAGAGCATATTATTAAAATTATTAAAGATTCCAAACCTATTAAGCATGTGGTACGAAAGATCCCCATTCATCTCAGAGAAGAAATGAACCAAATTATTCAGGATATGAAATCGAAAGAAGTAAGGAGGAATCTCGAAGTCCGTGGGTCTCCTGTAGTTTTAATTAAACAGAAGAATTGTTCGTTGCGGTTTTGTGTAGATTATAGAAAATTGAATGCCGTTACGATTAAAGACTAGTATCCATTACCACGAATAGAAGAGATTTTTGATAAATTGTCAGGAAATTATTTGTTTTCTACCTTAGATTTAAAATATGGATTAAAACAATGTGATATTCAAGCTCGTATCAAATGACAATTAATACAATAAGAAAAGGCTTTTACAACGAGCAAATATGGTTGACTATGTAAAATTACTGTATTTAAATATAAAAATTACAATAAATTCGTGCAAGACGTTTCGTCACTTACTTGTGACTTCTCAATCGCTAATTTCAATACAATTCTATATAATAACAGTTTATAAATTTCATCTTAAAGCTATAGTTGTCTTGTTAGCAAATGTAATATATACTAATATGTCCATGTTCTTCGTATTAATTTTGGTGCTCAAAAATAATTAATGTTCAATATATTTTTATTTTTTGCCTCGATCTCCATTATAGTGTGTTATTCTTTATCGACTTGTAGGCTGAATATCATATTCATTTATCGACTTGTAGGCTGAATATCATATTCAGCCTACAAGTCGATAAAGAATAACATACTATAATGGAGATCGAGGCAAAAAATAAAAATATATTGAACAGTAATTATTTTTGAGCACCAAAATTAATACGAAGAACATGGACATATATAGTACATATTACATTGCTAACAAGACAACTATAACTTTAAGATGAAATTTATAAACTGTTATAATATGTAATTGTATTGAAATTAGCGATTAAAAAGTCACAAGTAAGTGACAAAACGTCTTGCACGAATTTGTTGTAATTTTTATATTTAATTAAATGAGAAATATTTTTATCGGCTCTCAATATTAAGAATAATATATGATATTTTAAATCGGCCAATAGAGCCCAACCGCAAAAAATTAATTCTTCGGAACTGTATCTCTTGGTTTGAGATTACTAAGTTCCATATATAAATTAATCTCGAACTTACATATGGAGAAAATAGGCGAAAAAAATATAAGTCCGAAAAGTCGCTGAAGCGGGAATCGAACCCGCGTCTTTCACTTTCCGGGCGACTGCTCTTACCAACTAAGCTATTTTTATATTTAAATACAGTAATTTTACATAGTCAATCATATATTTGCTCGTTGTAAAAGCCTTTTCCTATTGTATTAAAAAATGGATATTAGCAGATTAAGGTTCGTTCTGCAGATAGAAGGAAAACGGCGTTCTCTATAGGAAACAGATTATGACAATTCACGGTAATGCCATTTGGTTTGTGCAACGCTCCAGCAACCTTTGAGCGTTTAATGGATAGAGCTCTAAAAGAAATTTTGTCTAAAATTTGTTTAGTGTATTTGAATGATGTGATTGTTTTCAGCAGAACCTTTGAAAAAATAATAGCTAATTTGAAGAAAATTTTTCATTTTCAAATGAATAATTTAAAAATCAGTCTAAAAAAATGTTCTTTCTTAAGAAGACAAGTTAAATATCTTGGTCATGTTATTTCTAAAAAAGGGATTACCAGATCCTGAAAAGGTTTCTGCTGTGCGAGATTTGCCAGTTCCTTGTACTAAGAAACAAGTACGAAGTTTTCTAGGATTTTGCTCTTATTATAGAAAATTTATGAAAGGATTTTCTTTAATTACGAAACCTCTATTTATGTTAACTGAAAATCAAGTTTTTGGATGATTTTCTGTTTGTCAAGAGGCGTTTGAAAAACTGAAACAAAAATTAATATCATCGCCAATTCTTTCTTTTCCAATGGAACAAGGGAAGTTCATTCTCGATGCGCATGCGTCTAATCATGGGATAAGAACAGGATCATCTCAAATTCAAGAAAGTATTGAAAAAGTGATTACTTACTATAGTCGAATTTTAAGTAAGTTAGAGAGGAATTACTGTGTGACACGACGAGAATTGTTGTCTATTGTGGAATCAATGAAGTCGTTTTATCATTTATATGGAAAGAAATTCTTAATTCATACTGATCATGTTTCGCTTCGCTGGTTACACTAGCATTTAAAGATTTAGAAGAACAATTAGCTCGTTGGTTAGAGAGGATACAACAATATGAATTTAAAATAATCCATCAAAAGAAACGATTACATCAGATTGTTGATGGATTGTCGAGACGCCCTTGTATAGAGTCAAAATGTATTTATTGTGCTACAGTAGAAACGAAGGAAAATTTGGTAGCTCGGATAGTTTTGGCAGAAGAAAACCTAGAAAAATAGAAAAAACAATTTGATGATCCAATTGTTTCAATTTTCTTGAGAGAGAAGGAATTAGAAGAACGTCCACTTCGACAAGAAATTGCAATGCAAGATTCTTCTGCAAAAATTTGATTGTTATTGGGATGCTTTAGTTATTAAAGATGGTGTTTTATTTAAAAATAGGAATCTTCAAATTTTAAATCTGTTGTTTTTCAGATTATTGTTTCTAAAAGCTGCATTAAACAAATACTTGAAATAGCTTATGATTTTACATCCGGGAGCCATTTTAGAATCAATAAGATGTTGGAAAAGATCCGCAAACATTTCTATTGGGCCATGTGTAAACAAGATGTGGAAGATTGATGCCGTTCTTATAAAGTGTAGTAAAGAAAAGTCCTTCGAGGAAAGGGAAGTCCTTGTTACAAAATAATGTAGGATATCCATTTGAAAGAATCAAATGGATGTGCTTGGTTCTCCTCTTACTACTACAGTAGGAAATAAATATTTGTTAATGGTAATAGATTGTTTCACGAAATGGGTTTGAAGCTGTTGCGTTAAAGAATATTAAAGCTAGTACCGTAGCAGCAGCTTTTGTGAATCAAATTATTTCTCGGCATGGAGTACCTTTAGAAGTTTATACTGATCAAAGGAAGAATTTTAAATTTAGGATTTTTCAAGAAATGAGACGTTTGTTAAGAATAAAGAAGACTAGGACTACTACTTTGCATCCTCGGTCAGATAAGCAAGTGGAACGCCATCCACAAACTATTCTGAATTATTTAACGAAGTTTATTTCAGAAAATGGGATTGGGATAGTTGGATTCCAATGTATTTATTAGCCTATCATCAAAACATGAAACTATTGGTATTTCGCCAGCAGAATTATATTTTGCTTAGGATCTTCGATTACCTTTAGATTTAAGAGGAAGTCCCAGAACGGGAAAATAAGGTGTTGGTTGGTAGTTGCATTCGTAAATTAAAAAGGAAATTAGAAGATATTCATAATTCTGCTCGACAACGTCTTGACATTCAATCATTACGGTCAAAAATGCGTTATGATCAGAAAGCTTGACAGGTTCATTTTAATTTATATCAAAATGTTTGGTTTTATAATCCTCGTAGGATCAAGGGAAGGGTTCCCAAATTACTAGTTGGGAAAGTCCTTATAAAGTAGTTAAGAAACTTAGAGAAGTTGTCTTTGGTATTTAGAAATCAAATAGACAGAAGTAAATCGTTCATGTCGATAGACTAGCTCCATTTTATGAGAAACAATTTTAATTAAAATCTAATTTAATTGTATTAGTTATGATATTTGTAACATTTTGCCAGTATTGTCTTGTCTGTGGTATCTTTTCAGGTTCGAAAGGATCATTATCGTGAAAAAAGAGTTAAAATGGTGTTATCTTTGGATGAAGATTATTTCACTCAGTCTCACTCAATGGTGTTATTTTTCGAAATGAAGACTGCCCCACTTATTGATGTTATTTTCGAGATGAGTCCATGAGTCTCATGAGTGATCTGTTCGGTAACCTCAGCAACAGCTCAGGTTAGAGCAAGAAGATTCATTGGAGCCTTAGATTCAATACTGAAGTGGAATATAGTCGATTTGGACTAATAAACTGCTTGGTAACAGTTCAGAGTAGCGCAAGAAGATTTTTTAAATTAGACATTAAAGTGGAATATAGTCGATTGGAACCAATGTACTGCTCGGTAACCTTGGCAATAGCTCAGGGTAGAGCAAGAAGATTCGTTGGAGCCTCAGATTCGATATTGGAATACCGGTGTTACGTTCTTTTACTGTTTGTCGGGACGACAATTTTGAAGGAGAAAGATAGTGTTAGTTCCTGCCACAATGTTATATGTTTACCTTTAAATAATTTTATACACAAAATAATTAAGAGCAATCAACTTAAAAAATCATAGTTGTTTTTAAGAAAAAGTATGTAATTTTTAACTATTACCTACTTACATTTTTTAAATTATTCATTTTTTGGTTATTCTACCTTAACCTTTTATGCAAAATATTGCAAATGATCGATTTATATAAAAAAATCATGATTCCATTTAAAAAAAAGATAAATTTAAAATTTCCAAGACTCCTCCACATATCATTTTTTTTCTTTGCGATGTTCTAATGGCCTTTTCAATCTTGTACATCTATGTGTTCAATTTTTAATTCAAAATTATTTAGACGATATATTGACTTATAAATTAAAATAGGTCACCCTGTCATATCAAAAATTGATAAAATTTTTTTAAAAAATGCCAAATATTGTTTTTACTTATCTATCTTTCAAAAAAATTCATAATTTAATAATAATAAATAATAGAAATGCGCATTATAATAATTAAAAATACTATTAAATACAGACATTTTCAACTACTTACTATTAGGATCATGTATCCAATGTTTCTTATCTCCAAGTTTAATTATGCGGGTGTCATCCTGAAAGAGAGAAAATTGATATATATTAAAAATCTATTTATTTGTATGTGTGACAATGTGTGTGTATTCCATAAACTATAAACTTCTTAGATATAATAGAATATATGCAAATGTAAAACATAAACTTGAAGATTATATTTTTACATTGTCAAACAAGAATAATTCAAACCAAAATTGATAAAAATAGAAAAATAAAAAACCATCTGCAAAATTTCAAACATTTTTTTAAAAACATCGATTAATTTGTCTTAGAAAATGTGCCAAAGTCGACGGAAGAAATTTTGTAAACACTTTGTAAAGCTTTAAAGAAAATAACAAATATTAAACAACTATTTTTTTACAAAAGCAACTTTAATATTCTGACTCCATTCGAACTCGGATGTTTATTAAATATTTTCAATCTGTTTATTAAATATTTTTTATCTGTTTCCATACTCTAAAATCACTGTATCAGTTTTTGCTTTGAATTCAGAAATTACCTGTTTGTACAAAATGGGCCATTTTAATGTCTACTCTAAGTTTTTTATAAAATATTCTTTGTACAAAAGATGTATGATTTCAAGGGGACACAAGAAAAGGGTAAAGAGTTACAAGAAAAAGGTGCGACTTTTTCTTAAAGGGCGATTTTTAAGGTCATTTGAAGGCCATATACGTCTTTTTATATGAACTACCTTTTATGTACAGGGTGTCACTTAATTGGCGCCCAATATTTATATAGCGATATTCCTCGTGGAAAACTGAGTCGAAAAGTCCTGTATCATTTTTTTCTGTAAGGCATAATTACTATTTTATTATGCCTTACAGAAAAAACTAATTATATAGCGATATTCCTTGTAAAAAACTGAGTCGAAAAGTCCTGTACCATTTTTTTCTGTAAGGCATAATAAAATAGTGATTATTTAGTAACGTTAATACGTTATTGAATAATTACTACTTTATTATGCCTTACAGAAAAAAATGGTACAGGACTTTTCGACTCAGTTTTCCACGAAGAATATCGCTATATAAATATTGGGCGCCAATTAAGTGACACCTGTATATATAAATTGCAACGATTTCTTATATTTCTTATATTTATATTATTCTCAATATTTACTATAAAAAATTATAAGAGTAAGATGACCATAAAATGAATAGTTTATGAGATATTTTATTCTTTAATTTGATATAAATTATCAAATTTTTACATAAATTAGAAAATATATCTTGTAAAATATCTATTTTTCAACGATCTTACTTAATTAATTTATGAACAAAATAATGAAAGGTGTCAATCGGTATAAAGAAAACACATAGTTGTTTATGAGAAAAAGTATATAGCTGCTACTTGCAAATTACATATTTTTTCTTAAAAACATGTTTTCTTTGCACCACTTGAACGCATGTGTGTACGAATAAATTAAGTGACAAACAGTGCAGTTATGAATCAAGAATAAATCACTTAAATTTTTCATTGACAACACGCGAAAATTTGTCTTTTATTGAGGAAAATGTAATTAAATAATGACTATATATGAAAATATATATATTTATATGTATATAAAAATTAAATGATGACTATATATGAAAAATAAGTATGTAGATTTGTAATCAATAAATTATACTTTTATTCTATTTTTTTGTTTATTTAAATATCTTTTTTTGTCCTTAAAATAATCGTGCTATGCATTACTTTTCATCCCACCTGCGTATATAAAATCAGTATTCTTGATCATATATTCTTTTAGAAAGATTCAGTGTTTAATATTAAGAGTTTTTTCTTTTGTTTTCACATTTCCACATTTTTCTTTCTGTTTTTATAGAATAAGAATCACATTTCTCAAAGGATCTTAAATAATTTTATCTTAACATAAAATAAAAATATGTGATATAATAAAAGGCCAACTTAACGAGCTTATATGCTATTAATTGAAAAATTTTTATTTATTAATTTACGTCATACTATACAAAAGTTACGATAAACGTTTCGACTGTACGACAGTCTTTCTCAATATCCTAATAATATGTTAAAAAATTAATTTAGTCATTTCGACATCATAAATAAATACAACAATTATAAGATTATATGACGAACGCAGTACAAAATTCATGATTGTTGGCATGAGTTAGAGCGTCAGATGCTGTTATATTATGTAACGACACTGTGAACAAATTAATATATCCGCTCAAATATTACAATACATTTAGATTTTTAATAAATAGTATTAACTTACTTTTTTGTCAACGAACATAACACCTTTGTTAAAAAATTATTTCTTTTTACTTAACATAATCACAATGTGTACTTTTTTAAAAAACAAATCGATATCTGTATCTTACAATGTCGGCGCGCTGTATATATACCCAATTTTTAAGATGACGTAGACAATTTTTTTAGAATATCATAATAAGAACCGTCAAGACGCTCGGTGTCCTTTTTTAGGTTGATACTGTTGTTTTCTTCTTTAATATATATCATTTCTGATATCAACCTTTTATAATAATTCTTTTCATAATCTAGGATTTTTGTGTCGTTCCAATTGAAATTGTGTGTAAATTTTACAATATGATCAGAAACCACCGAGTGCCTTGCTGAATCTAATCTAATATTATTTTTATGTTCATTTACTCTTGTACCTAATTGTCTTTTTGTCTGTCCTACATATGTAGCATCACAATTATTACACGAAATCTTATATATGACCCCCGAATTATTTTGGAGCTTATCTCTGTCTTTTTGCGTTTTTATGACTCTGTTTAATTTCTTTAGACATCTGTATCCTACTGTTATATTTGATTTCTTTAATTCTGATGCTACTAGTTCCGAGATTCTTTCAATATAAGGTATCGCTATGAATTTTTTATTATTGTCATTATTTATGATTTCGTTATTTATATCTTGAGTCATTTCTTTGTTTAATCTATTAACAATAAGGAACTTCAGTCTATTATTGATTTCTGAGAAAATGAGATCAAGAGGATAACTATTGCTCAATAAAATCTCTATGATTAATGTTAAATTTTTACTATGAAAACGGGGATGTGATAATAATATTGACCGGTCTACTAAATTATATATTACACTTTTTTTGTGGCATATAGGATGATTTGAATGATATGAGAGTGTTCTACCCGAAAATGTTTTTTTCTGAAACCAATCTATGTATATTATGTTATTTATAATTTTGAGTGAGATATCTAAAAAACTTATGCTACGGTTATCCTCTCTTTCTATTGTGAATTTTAATCTATCGTGACAATCATTAAATTTTTCTACTAGATATGTGACTTGATCTTCCGGCAAGCAAAGCAAGATATCATCGACGTAGCGATAGTAAAACCTTATATTAACCTTTATAGTTTCAAGAATCCTAGTTTCTATATCTTGCATGACAATATCAGCAATAATTGGAGATAAAGGCGATCCCATAGGAGTTCCATGTATTTGTTTATAGATCGTTTCGTTGAATGTGAAGTACGTTGAAGTCAAAATAAATTTAATTACATTAACAAACTCATTTTTGTCTATTGATGTGTGGTTTTCAATGTAATGCCATCTATTATTTATGCTGTCTATTGCAAGGTCCACAGGAACATTTGTGAACAACGATATCACATCCAAAGATACGATTGTTTCATTGTTATTTAATTTAAGATCAGACAAAGCGTTGCACAATTCAAAACTATTGTTAACATGACTTTTGCCTTTGGGTAAACTTGTCACTAAAATGTTGTGTAAATATGCAGCTAAATGATGTAGTGCTGTATTGACCGATGATACTATTACTCTGAATGGAACATTTTCCTTGTGAATTTTGGGCAAGCCATATGCTTTAGGAAGCACTGAATCACTGGAACTTAAACAATAATAGTCTTTTTTTGTGATCCATTCATTTTTTAACCATTGTTTTAAATTTTTGTTAAGGTCTTTTTCTATTTTTATTATTGGATTGTTTTTGATTGTCATATAATTATCTTTGTCATTTAATAATTCTTCAACTTTGTCTATATAAAATTCTTTGGTCATTGCTACGGTCGTGTTTCCCTTGTCTGCTCTTGTGAAAATGATGCTGGGATTTTGTTTACAAAATGTCATGGTTTTTTTGTACATAAAAGTAAGTTTGTCGTTAATTATGTCTTTCCTAGTATTGTTGTTTAAAAAAACAAAGAACTGTGGAATAGCTATGTTTCTTATTGTCGTGAGATTAGTTATGTTATTCGAATTGCTTTCTATGTCTTTAATGAATTCATGGACAGCTGTTTTTTTATCAGTATTAATAGGAAGGCTAAATTCACTACCTAATTGCAATAAATTTGTGACATCAGTTGGAATATCTACATCAGTCAAATTAATAAACCATTTATCATTGGTTTGTTCTAATGGATTAATAGTTCTGTTTATAAAATTTGTTGCGTTAATGTGGTTATTAATATATTTATTATTTTGAGAGTTTACACTATTTTTCTCTGAACAAGAAAAAACTATGGGTTTAATATTATTATAGTAATCCGATTCTTTTTTTTGCAATAACCAACAGAATTTTTTCTTATGTAAGTAATGTAAGTTTAAAATTTGTTTTTTGAATAATCTACTATGGTGGTTATAAATCTCTTGCCATACCTGGGATGGGATGTTGTTATTTAATCTTTGTGTAAAGTATCTTATGTTTTTGTTAAAATACCCTATTTGTCTGTGCAAGTCAAATATCTCTATGTTTAATATTTCCATTCTAAATTTATGCAACACACTGTCTAACCTTTTTTTTGATTTATAATGACATACGTTAATATTACTATTGTCTGATAGATGCTTAGGTAAAACTCTGAATGTCCTACATTGTTTTAAAAATATTAATTTGGACACAGTTCTTATTTTGCCATAATTCGCCCATAGCCAAGATTTTAAATCTTCAAAGCTTTGTTGTCCATAATTATGTTGTACAAACTTAAAATTAAATTGGTGGAACTTAAAAAGTGTATAATTATTACGCATTGTAAGGCCAGCGTGAATTAAATATATATATTTTATAAATTAAACTTCGGCTCGTATACAA